ACAACATCCGCGGTGGCATCGACAGCGAGCCCTGCTCAAAATGGACAGGAACTGCTGTCGGTCGTCGTCCCCGCTCTTTGCGTACTACTTTCAATCGCACCGGATCATCACCCCAGCTACGCGCAGGAGTGACCCTGGGCAAGAGTGACCTGAGATACGCGACCTTCGAGGGCGCGGGGGGGGAGAAATGGGGGGGGCACCTCTTAGCGCAGAAGCCACTGGCATCGCATCGCATTCGGCCACCTGGGGACCCCAGGGCGCCCGCACCGAAGGTCACTCCGGCGAAGGTCGGGGGCGCGCAAACATGGATTAGCAATACATGGATTTGACGCGCGGTCGCCAAATCCATGGATCCGGGGAGGCCTGTGCCGCCTCGTTCGGCGGCGGAAATCCGCGATTTCCCATGGGAGCGGGACCCGCCGCTAATCCACGCCCCCTTGATCCATGTTTGCGATCGCCTGAGAAGGGCTACTCTCACGAGCAGGCGATCACCCCCCTGGTGGCCGCCCTGGCGGGGGCGCGGGGGGTGGGTCGGGGGGTCCAAGAGGGGGGGGCGCACATCGTGGCCGGCGGCATGTGCGCGGCCCGGGGGGGGGGGGGGGGCGGGGACAGAATGAGACAAGGAGAGTCGCCATGACATCTGTCTGGGGAGACATCGTGGCCCCCGCCATGATATCCACTCCCCCCTACAGGACACGCGAGAGGACAGAAGACCCTTCCGAGGGCCACAATGCCGTAGGAATGCAGGAGGCACGGGTCGATAGGAACAGGACACAAAGGCACCCTTGATCTGGCAGGGTCGACCTACCAATCCGGGCCGACCGTAATCATCACCCCCCTCTTTGCCGCCCCCAATGAATTAAAGATGTGTTTAAGATGTGTAAAACATGCTCCAGAAATGTTTCAAACCTGCTTTTTACAAGCTCAAAACATAGTTCAAACACCATTCAGAAATCTGGAAATCAGCTGGCAGCATGCCTCCTCTCCATTAATCGACTTCCACAACCCTAGTCATCACCCAGGAGGAGAGGAGGAGGAGGAGGAGGAGGAGGAGGAGAGGAGGAGGGAGGAGGAGGTGGGGGAGGTGAGAGGAGGATGGAGAACGAGAAGCGAGGAGCGGCGAGGAGGAGGGAGGAGGAAGGAGGTGAGGAGGAGGTGGGGAGGTGAGAGGAGGATGGAGAACGAGAAGCGAGGAGCGGGAGGAGAGGAGGAGGAGGAGGAGGAGGGAGGAGGAGGAGGAGGAGGAGGAGGGAGGAGGAGGAGGAGGAGGAGGAGGAGGTGGGGGGGGGGGCGGGGCACGGAGCGCCTCGGGCCCGCGCCGCCCGCCGCCCCCGAGGCGGCGCAGCAGGCCGAGAGGCAGAGCAGCAGCGGCGGCGGGCGCGCGGGCGCGGGCGCGGCCATCGCTGGGGCGGGCGCGCGCGCGCGCCCGTCGGCCGTCGGGCGGCCGTCCGCCGTCGCCGCCGCCGACCCCGCCCTCTGAGCGGAGAGGAGCAGTCGGCCGTGCGCAAGAGGACGCAGCCATAGGGGAGCGAACCAGGACGCGAGCAGGAAAGCTCCAGGGTCCGCGCGGACTCCTCGGGGCCGGCGCTGGGGCCCCCTATAGCGGCGCCTCCGGCGCCGCCCCCAGCGCGCTCCGCGCGCCAGGGAGGGATGTCCAGCGCCGATCCGAGAAATCCGCGCGGACCTCCGCGTTTTTATGTTTACAGTCACCGGCTTAACCGAAGGAGCGGTAAACAAGGAACGAAGCCCTTCTTTTCCAAGGAGTAACGCACAAGGAACGATGAGTAATACGTAACGCATGAGGAACGCTACATGACGCACGCAAGCCCGAGGAACGACCGAGCCCCTTTTGAAAGGCAAGTGCTCCTTGTTCAAGCCGCTTGCTGCATGTCATTGCTCGCCCCCCGAATCTGAGCGAACAGAGAAAATGGGCTGCGCGCAGGATGGCGAAGCGACCCGACGCGGTGGCGTACGCTGGCCGCCAGCGCAGCACGCTGCACCGGAAGCGGCAGGGGCGCCCACGCGGCACCCGCGCGCGGGCAGCTGACGCACCGACGTCGGCGAAGGCGGCCCCGTTGTCTCGCGTCGCTCCTCTCGCCGTCGCTCGGATTACATTCCCCGTGCACTGCTTGGCCTCGCGCGTGCTCCTGCATTTGTCCTCTTCCTCCTCCTCCTCCTCCTCCTCCTCCTCCTCCTCCTCCTCCTCCTCCTCCTCCTCCTCTCAACACGATCCAAGATGGTCCGTGAGATCGTTTCGTCCGGCGATGACCTGGGCTATATCCTGTGGGGGGGGGTGGAGGTGCTGGCCGATGGCCCAGCCTTCTTCTGCAGTGGGCGGGTGCGCGGAGGCGGCTGCGGATGCAGCGGTGCAGCGACGCGGAGGCCACCCGCGCCCAGGCCCCCTGGGAGGGCGGTCGGGCTCGCTGGACGGAACACTCGTGTGGAGCGTGCGCGAGCGGCAGCCTGACAGCACGTCATGTTGGATGTTCGTTCTGGGGACCTTCCTGGAGCCACTCGCTCCACTCGTGCGTCGAAGCTGCGTCGAACGTCCGTCGATCTAGGTCGAACCTGAGTCGAACTTGAGTCGAACTTGAGTCGAACTTGAGTCGAACTTGAGCCGAACTGGGGTCGAACAGATCCGTTAGGTGGGCTCCAGGAAGGTCCCCAAAACGAGCATCTAAGTCATGCCTACCCCTCTTCGGGCCTGCGCAAGCGAGGAGGGTAGATCATCCAGGCGAGGGGGAGGGGGGGGGGGCGAGCGGGCCCAGCCTGAGTTGTGGCGGGACCCTTGGAGCAGCAGTGGAGGAGGAGGAGGAGGAGGAGGAGGGAGGAGGTGGAGGAGGAGGAGGAGGAGGAGGAGGAGGAGGAGGAGGGAGGAGGAGGAGGAGGAGGAGAGGAGGGAGGAGGAGGAGGAGGAGGAGGAGGAGGAGGAGGAGGAGGAGGAGGAGAGGAGGAGGAGGAGGAGGAGAGGAGGAGGAGGAGGAGGAGGAGGAGGAGGAGGAGGAGGAGGAACAGCAGTCTGGAGCTTGTCTGGCGCTGGCCGTCGCCCAGAGAAAACGCAAAAGCGTCCAGGGACGGCGCCGCGCCAATCAGGCCGCGTCGCGGGTCGGCCGTCGCCGGGCCGTCGTGGCCCGAGGATTTTGCCCAGGCCTGCAGGGTCTTGGAGGAATCCCAAGGCCTGCAGGCCCCTCCTCCCCCTCCTCCTCCCCTCCTCCTCCTCTCCTCCTCTCCTCCCCTCCTCCTCCTCCTCCTCCTCTTCCTCCTCCTCCTCCCCCTCCTCCCCTCCTCCTCCTCCTCGCTCACTCACTCGGGTCGGGCGAAAGGGGGGCATAGCAAAGGGGGGTTTGAGAATCAGCTCGCGTGGCTGATTTTCCCGGCGCCTCCCAGCGCCGGAGGCGCCCATGTATCGAGGAATGGGCCCCTCGGCAAGGCCGAAACCAGCGGCATGCCGCAGATTTGGTAACCCCCCCCTTTCCCAATCCCCCCCTTTCGCCCGGCCCGAGTCTTGGAAGACTCAGGGTCGAGGGTCGAGGATAGATCTAGGTCGGGCGCGTCCTCATACAAGTCAGCGAGCGAAGAACGGTATAAAATAGACTTTTTCGCTGTCGGGGCGTCCCTGGGCGGCTGGAAAGTTTATACCCCTACGGTGCCACCGTAAGGGTATAAACTGTCCAGCCGCACTGGGACAAGCGCCCCCGACAGCGAAAATGTTTATGTTATGCCGTTATTCGCCCATTCAACAAGAGGATTTTGGACGAAAACATAAAGAGTTGTATTCCAAAACCGAAGACTCATCCCCAGACTGTGTATGTAGTAATTTTTCAATACTCCTCATGTAGAGGGGCATGCCGGACTTAAGGATAGATAGGGGACGTCGTTGTTCCGCCAATTTGGGGACTTTGGGGGGCTTCTGGTCGCCACCACTGCTGGACCCACCCTGAAACTATTGCCAAAACGCATCTCCAGCTGCAGGAGAAGACGCGCGGACAACGTTTCACTGGCCGCATCCGTGGCCAACCCTTGGGGCTATCGCCAGAAAGGTAAGCCAAATCTGGGACGAACAGCAATACCCTTGTTGCTCAGGGACCGAAGGCCGCCGGAGCCCGTGCTCCCGTCCTCTCAGAAAAGGTACTGGGCGAGGGGGACCCCTGATTTGGCTCGCGATGCTTCTCCACGGGATGTCCGGCCCGTCCCGCTGGCACCTGTCGTTCGGCGGCGAGCGAGGGGGGGAAAACGAGGAGGAGAAGGCCTTCTCAGAAGACAGCGGGAGCGGGACTTCTCAGAAGCCCCCGCGCCTTCTGAGAGGTTGTTTTTTTATGTCTTCGGGAAGGCTTGGAAAACTTCTCAGGAGGCCAGCGGACTTCCGAGCCTTCTGAGAAGGCCTTCTCCCTCTCATTCCCCCCCCTCGCCGCCGAGTCGTCGTCGTGGCCGAAACCGCCGTCAAAATGAGCCAAGAGACGACCAACCGAACAGACCCCAAGCGGCCCCGGGCCACGCCCGGAGCCCAGGCCAGCCGCGAAGCAGCTCTCGAGCCCAGGCCAGCGGAGGGCGGGCCGACCGGGTCGGCTCCACGAACACCGTTTTGTTGTCCCTGTTTGTTCGGTTCGGTCCCTCGCTCGGCTCTGTCTGGGTCCTGGTCCGTCCCTCGCTTCTTTCGGCCCTTCCTTCGGGCCCCTCGCTCGTCGTTTCGGCGCCACGGGCAGGAGTGTTCGGCAGACGATCACCCGCGCGCAAATTAACAAAAAAAAAAAAAAAATGGGCCCCACTGGCCGATCTCCCCCCCCACAGATGGGGATATAGGCCGTCCCCTCCGGGTTCCGAGGGGTGTGTCCCCAGAAGGGGGGAGTGACTTTTTGTGGGGCTCTCGAAGGGGACGAGGATGGCGAGGGGGGAGTGATTTTTTGTGGGGCTCTCGAAGGGGACGAGGATGGCTCTCGAAGGGGACGAGGATGACGAGTGATTTTTTGTGGGGCTCTCGAAGGGGACGAGGATACCGACTCCAGGCGGCCAAGTACGGGTCAGCCAGCGGACCTCGGAGGGGACCGGCAGACCCCCGTCCGCGCGGACCCCCGCGGCGTGAGCCCCGGCCAATCAGTGTAGGGAGCCCACAAGGGACGCACGCGCCCAGCTATGTGCATGAGCACGGCCCCTCGATCCGCGAGACTGGCCGCGTTGTACGAACATGTGCGCAATGCGTACTCTCGAAACCAGCGTGGATTCATGTACGTGTACATCCTTGCTTGGCTCCTGACCAAGACGGCCCAACGGTGCTCCGCCCGACAAGCTACCGACGACGGCCCCCAACAAAGGGCCCCGCGGGGGCCTCCGAGACGACCCCAGGGGCCTCACAGGGACGCCCGGGTGACTGTCCCAGGCTGCCAGCGATGTCTTTTTCCCGGAGCGCGCTTCTCTTCAAAACTCTCACACAAGTCAGAGAGGACGACGCAGGAGTCCCACAGGGGAGACGGGGAGTCCAGGCTCCGCCCTCCGAGATCGCTTGGTCCGGCAGCCGTTTCGCCGAAAGACTGCCTCAGCACTCCCCAGGCAGCGGCTTTGCACCCAGGGTGTAGTTCTCTCCCCTCCTCTCTACAGAGCTGAGCCCGTCTGCCACCCGTCCTCGATCCCGAGGAGGAGGAGGAGGAAGAGGAGGAGGAGGAGGAGGAGAAGGAGAAGGAGGAGGAGGAGGAGGAGAAGGAGGAGGAGCCCCCGCCCCCGTCCGTCGATGCGCCTGGGCCCGCTTGCCGCCCGGGCGGCCCCGTCCCCACCCGCCGCCGCCCCACCCGCCGCGGCCCCGTCCCCACCCGCTGCCGCCCCCTCCGGCGCTCTCGCTGACCGCCCGTCGCCGCCGCGCGGTCTCCCCCGCTTCCCGCCCGCCGCCGCCGCCCCGCTGCACCCCCGCCCCCGGCTGCACGGCAAGCGCCTCGCACTGCCGACGCCATGCGCGTCGCTGCAGTCGCGCTGCCTGGCAGCCGCGCTGCAAAATCGCATCGCGCAGTGCTCTGCACTGCTTTTGCACGGCGCTGCACCCGCTTGCACCGCACTGCACGGCGCTGCGCTGCTGTGCACCGCCGTGCTCTGCCGTGCAACCACTTTGCGCAACGCTGCATGCCGCTGCCTTGTTCTTGCATTGCCCTGCGCGTTGCCTTGCAGTGTGTTGCATTGCTCTGCATTGCTTTGCACCACGTGAATTAAGGAGCCGAACTCTATACACCGACGCATTTGTCTGGCCTCACACTGAATCTCGCACAGGAAAGCGGATCCTGGTGTACACGGGATCCTGGTGTATAGATTCTTCGTTGTTTCCTTGGGAAAACGGGGAAACAAGTATGCGCCACACCACCCCGACGCCGTCCCCGACCCTCAAAAGTCCTGGGACTGAAAAACCGCCCGCCACTGGCAATGTATATGCTCCAGTCTCCGATGAGTGGCGCCACGTGGACTGCACCACCAAAATAATTGCAACACATGGACTGCACCACCCCGATTGCACCGCGCCGCGAAGATGGCAAGAACTCACCTGGGGTCGGGCGAAAGGGGGGCATAGCAAAGGGGGGGTTTGAGAATCAGCTCACGTGGCTGATTTTCCCGGCGCCTCCCAACGCCGGAGGCGGCCATGTATCGAGGAATGGGCCCCTCGGTGGGGCCGAAACCAGCTGCATGCAGCAAATTTCGTAACCCCCCCTTTCCCAATCCCCCCCTTTCGTCCGGCAAGAACTCACTGCTTGGGGTCCACGCTTGCCAACGTGTCCGCCCCCGTGCCCCCTTGGCACGCCGAGGCGCGGAAGACTGCCGCGGCCTGGCTGGCGGTGTTTTTGTTCTGACCTCTACCAAAGGGGAGATCTTGGACGACAAATAGAAAACGTCCAAAACATATTCAAAAGATGCCAAAACAATACTCACAAAATAGTCCCCAGACTATTTTCGGACTGTTTTTGAATATTCACCCTGTAGAGGGACAGGCCCGACTTAATGCTAGCAAACTCTTGCGTGCACCGTCCCTCCTTTCCGATGCCATTTCCATCGTGCCCGTTCAAGGATGTTGCAGTTCCAACATGGCATCGAACGCCTGATCTGCATCCCACGCGTGCCCGCTCGAGGGTGATACACTTCCCGCATGGCAGCGCACGCCTGGTTCCTCATGCCATACGCGCCAGCTCAAGAATTCGCGAGAGCGGGCGCGAACCTTTTTTGACAAGTGGCATTGCAAAAGCATGCGTCTGTTTGGCAATGTTCGGGGCTCTCGGTTGTGACCTCCTCGCGGAGCCCATCGTTTTTGAAATATTCCGGCGCTCCTTTCTTTCAGACGGTTTCTTGAAAATGGATGATGTTTGATAACCGAGTGCGCGCTAATTCTCCTCCTGCATCTTGCCGTCGCTCGGACGTCCATTTCCCGTGCATTGTTCGGTTTCGTGCGTGTTTTTTTTGCTCCATGGTCCAGGATGGTCCTCGATGGTTCTCGCCGAGAAAAAATGCACACGTGCGAGCGATGCCAAGGCAAAGGATGAGGGGCCAGAGGGGGGGGTCGGCGCCGGCCCGGCTGGGGCGGCGCGAGGTCATGCTTACAGTGGACGAGAGGGCAATATCATGCGCTCATGGCACATCCCAGGGGGGGGGGGCAGTTAATTCCGGGGGGGGCGGGGAGATCCCAACTTCTCCTTTGGAAAAAAACGCATGTCGCGCAAAAGACGTCGCGCAATCTTCGCGGAGCAACGCGCGCGGCGCAGTCGGGGGGGGAACTACGCTGCGCTATATACGTTGAAAACCCACGTGGTGCAACCGACGCGACGTCATCCACGCGGCGCAGCACATGTAGCGCCACCCACGTGGCACAATCCATGTGGCGGAAGTCACCCTGCCGAACTTGAAGCGGTCATTTCCACTGCTCCCACCCGCCCACCCGCGCCGTGGTACGCAGAACCAATGGAGCTGCAATTGCGACGCCTGCCCGGCGCTGGCTGGCGCATCGCCGCGGCCGCGCTAGCGCGCAGGCTCGCTCGCAAAGTGGGCAGCTAGTCTGACGCAACCGACGCGGCCGCGGTGGCGCCGACCCCGGAGTCCGTAGTACGTCTCGCAGGCCGCGCTGACGCACGGGCACTTCAATGCGAGTCGGCGACGCGGGCGGGCGCGGTACCATGGCAACCTCGACAACGACAGACACGATGACGGTAATAGCACTGTTGGTGGCGATGAAGACAATGGCCAAGGCAAGAACACTCACGGAGCCGATGCTGATCACGCCAATGACGATGATGATATCCTCGAGATGAAAGATGTTGGGCGTGTTTCGAAATGCGCGCGCGGCAGACGCACGCGAGTGGCCCGCATGTTACTATTTGACTGGGATATTGCCCCTCCCCCACCCCCAGCACTCGCGCAAGAGCATTCCATGCGCGCGCGAGAGGCCCCAATGGCCGCATTTGATGAACACGTTGAAAGGTTAGTATGGTTTCTTGAGGAATTTGCCAGAGAGCGGGCGCATGCTTGTTTGAATATTCCTGTTGTGAAACCATGGGTTGCTTATATGTTTTCGGGGCACTCGATATTGACATCATTGCGATACATTTGGCTCGTTTGAAGGATTCCAGCATGCGTGCGCGACGACGCGCGCGTGCATTTCGCCCCATGTGTTGAGAGGGATTATTGAGAGAACGTGCACAAGGGCGTCGGGTTGATTGCTGGCGCGAGAGGCACGTTTGGTAACATGTTCTGAGCATGAAGAACAACTACGGCTTCCCGGAGAATTCGCAAGAGAGCGCGTATGTGTTTTGTCACAAGTCCCGTTGCGACACAAGGGTGCTTCTATATGTTTTCGGGGTACTCGATTCTGAACCCCCAACGAAACAACATGTGTTCTTTCATACCCGAGATTGGCATGCGCGCGACGACGGGCGCGTGCGCATGTCATCCCATTGTGTTGCAAGGGATGATTGGGAACGTGTGATGTTGACTATTTTCGATTAGCGAATGTGCGCGCGTAGTGTTGCATGCACAGGATGAAGGGGGTCGATAACCCGACTGCCTGGGATGGTATAATTCAAATTTAGGATGGACGAGTGTGCAAAATCAGAGAATGACAAAAGATACGAAAACGTGACCCGTTGGGGGGCGGGGTAAATCCGAATACTCTTTCCGAAAGGACAATCAACGTGGTGCACTCTCTGCGGCCCACATATGTGGTGCAATCTATGTTGCGCAAGTAAAGCAACGCAAAGCATCACACAACAATCGATAGTGCAATATACCGGCGGCGACAAAGCGGCGACGGGGCGGCGACGGCGACTACGTAGCCGCCAGACCGACGCACAGGATCAGACGACGGCTGGCGACAAGGCGGCAACAGAGACACCAGACCGACGCACAGGCTCAGACGACGGGCGGCGACGGGGCGGCAACGGGGCGGCGACGGGGCGGCGACGGCGGCTCCATAGCCGCCAGACCGACACACAGGCGCAGGTCCTCAGATAACGCATACAAGCCCTAAGTACAAGCACCGTCTGGGGAAACATACACTAAGGTGCACATGGCCTTGCTCTCACGCCTGTCCCGTATGGCCGACCTCCTCCTCCTCGGCCCGCGCTTGGCAACTCAAGGTGATTCCTCGGCCCTCGGTGAGCCCAAACAGTACCCAAAAGATCACATGACCGACGAACCGAAGATGAAACTTGGGGTGTGGACCTGATGAGGTCGTCCAGGACTTGACAATCTCGGGTAGCGTCTTGAGGTGCTGAGGTCTTTATAAGACACCAAGGAGCGAAGGATACGAAGCCATCGGGTCTGACGCGAGATGACGTAGCGACCTTACGCGGCGGCTTCGACGGAGGAGAAGGAGGAGGAGGAAGAGGAGGAAGAGGAGGAGGAAGAGCGCGCAGGAGGAGGAGGAGGAGGAGGAGGAGGAGGAGGAGGAGGAGGAGGTGGAGGAGGAGGAGGAGACGGAGGAGGAGGAGGAGAAGGAGGAGCGACACACCATATTGGAGTCGAGGGTGCCTACGCGCGACCTTACGCGGGCAGCCTGCGCGCCAGTGTCGGCACAGACGACCCCGTTCTCCAGCGTCGCCCACTAAAAGATGGGCCAATACCCTTTTATTTCTTTGATAAGTTAGTTATTAAGTTAAGTTAGTATACTGGTGCAGAATAAGTTAAGTTATTAAACATAGGTGGTAACGTTAGTGTTGCATACTTTAGGTTTTTTAGTTGTTTCATCTATAATTTATGGTAATAAATGTTTATATCCCTTTTGTTCTATTACCGCATATAATACACGTTGTGGCCGCAAGACTGCCCAGGACGGCCCTAAGAGGGCCCCAAGACGGCCCGTGGAGGGGTCCAGGACGGCCCCCAAAAGGCCCAAGAAGACGAGGGAGGACCCACAAAGACGGCCAGACGAGGCCAATAAGACAACACCCGAAACCCCAAGACGGCCCAATATCGCCCCATGAGGGCGGCAGAGGGCCCCACTAGGATTTCAAGACTGCCCCAAAAGAAAGCCGCCTGAGGGCTCCGCGAAACGACGTCGCCAAGAAGGCCCAAGGAGAGTCCCACGAGAACTTCAAGACCGCCCCGAGCAGGAAGCCCAAAAAGGGCTCCGAGAGAGACGTCGCCGACAAGGCCATCGATGCCCCCAAAAATGTTGCCCGAGAGGCAGTAGGAGATGCCACTAAGCCGTCCACGAGGCTCCCTAGGACTCCCCCAAGAGGGCCCGCGTCTCTGCAGCGGGGGACGGCGGTGCCTCGCTGGAGGCGCTTCGGTGCCTCGGCGAAACTAGCGATGCGTGCACGCGCCCGTGGTGCCGAGGCCGGGTGGTACGGCCAGAGAGGACGGGTGGTACGCTTAAGTCGGGCCTGTCCCCCTACAGGGGGATTTTCGACGAAAACTAAAAAAACACCCCAAAAATAATCAAACAATAATCTAAAAATAGTCTGGGGACTATTTTTTGAGTATGTTTTGACCTTCTTCGGGTATTTTGGGTGTATTTTTTATTTTCGTCGAAAGTCCCCCTGTAGGGGAACACACCCAACATAATGGTACGCTCCGAAGACGGGTGCACGTGCCTGGACACAGCACCACGTGCTGGCCGCTGTTTCCGGAGAGCGCCAGGGCCTTGCGGATCCCCAGGCGACGGCGGTCCTCGGCCAGGTCGACGCAGGAGGGAGGAGCGGGGCGGTGCCGAAACTGGACCTGCGTGCGCAAGGCGGGCGTGGGGTCGGTGGGCGTGCGTGAGCAGTATAAGTTGGCATCCTAATGCCGAAGGCTTGTGAGCATGCCGAAAGCGCTTGGGGTGGTCGTTCTGAGCGTGGTCGCACTGGGCATGCCTAAACGAGGATAGAATGGTGGTGTCTCGAAAAGAATCAAAGGGAAACGAAAGTCAGACCAAACAGAACACGAAGTGGGCGACGAGACGAAACGGGTCGCGAGATGCCACAGCAACCTTGCGAGGTGGCTTAGACGGGCCGCCGGCGCGGCCCGCCGCACTGAAAACGAGGGCGCCTACGCGCGACCTCACGCGAGCAGCCTGCGCGCGAACATGTCGGCGCAGTCGTCGAATCCGTTTTTTGCTGCGTCGTTCATTACCAGCCTGGAACATATCCCTATCCATATGTTCGGCATCGCCTCATCACGATGGCGGTCTTAGCCTTAGAAACTGAGGGAATCCCTAATAGGGATTCCCTCAGTTTCTGAGGGTGCATCCCTAAGATTGTCATCGCCTTTTGGCGTGTCAATCTCAGGGATGGGGATACGTTCGAGGCTGGTAAAATATGTCGGCGCAGTCGTCGAATCCGTTTTCTGTGGCGTCGTCCGAGCGCCCGTCGGCACAGCGTGGCCTCCGCAACGGGGCAGTGGGCTCAGTCGAGGTCGAAGGCCGGGGCCGCACCCGAGCCGTGGGGCTCGTCGGGGGCCCGCAGGTCGGGCGAGGCGCCGGGCGCCAGCCGCCACAGCCGCAGCGTCCTGTCGTCGGAGCCGGACACGATCCACTCCCCGCAGGGCGAGAAACCTCGGGGATGCACAGACCTCCCTTCAGTAAAACGTGGTTTAGTCAGAGCGTGAGTTACCTCCCCCGCTTTCGCTTCCAGGCAAAACCAAGCCATACCACGCGCCTCCTCGTTGAGCGGCCTGACCAGTACAGGCCGCAATTTGGCATCGTTTGGTATCTCTTGGAAGCGAGGGTGGTCAAAAGCGAGGTAGGTTTGTTTCCCCCCGATTTAGTGAAAACGACCTGAGGCCCAAACCTGGCGGGCGCAAGCCTGGAAAATAACGGCCACGGCGCCCTCTCGAAAACCGAGGACGGAGAATTCACTGATCGACGCGTCACTGTTGGGGGTTCTGTCCACCCCCGAAAACCGCAGCTGAACACCGCATCGCGGTGCCCTCGCAGCACACGCTCTGCTCGGCAGCCGTCCGAGGCGCTGTCATCCGTCTGCCACACCTGCAGCGTGCCGTCTGCACATGCCGCGAGGAAACGCTTGCCGTCCGGCGAGAACGTGCAGGCTTGCATGCCGCTGCCTGCCTTGGTGATCTCGGCCGTGCTCCAGCCGTCCTCTGGTCGCCAGAGCCGCAGCGTGTCGTCGGCCGACACAGAGAGTACTCTCAGCCCGTCCGAGCTGATGGAGCAGCACCAGACGTCTCGGCCGTGCCCCTCTACTCTGCGCTCCATGGAGCCGTCGGCGGCGCACCACAGACACAAAGCCCCGTCGGCTCCGGCCGAGAGCAGCCGTGCTCCCTGGGGGAAAAAGTCGCACCAATACACGCAGCAGCCGTGTCTGGCGGACCACACCTGGGGGAAACCAAAAGGCACCGATACCGTCACTCCCCAGAACTCTCCCGGGGTGCGCTCTGACCTGAGTTTCGAGGCGAAGCCAGTCGTGGCGATGAGGGCCTCCAAAAAGGCGTTCAAGCTTGCACGATCGGCCCTTCCAAAAAGGCCGGATCGTTCGAGGACGGGTCGCTCTGGGCCACAGGCGGCGTTCAAAACCTGAAACGCCCGCGCTGGGGTCGCCGCCGGTCGACACGACGCGAACCTGCCGCAAGGGTAGCGGCATCGGAAACTGCTTTTCTGCTCTGGCACCTGGCCCTCGCCCTCGGGCGCGGCGGGCCGCCACAGCCGCAGCGTCCCGTCGCTGGAGCCCGACGCCGCGCTGGCGCCGTCCGGCGAGAAGCGGCAGCACCGCACGCCGCCCGTGTGGCCGGCCAGCCGCCGCGCGCAGGCGCCGTCCTCGGCGCCCCAGAGCCGGAGCGTCCTGTCGCTCGAGCCGCCGAGGAGGTCAGCACAACCCAGCCCCAGCCCCCAGAGAGGACCCCCAAAACACCGACCTCGTGATCCAGAGGGTCCTGGCTGGGGGTGGGGGCGGTTTCTGGCCCCTGAGACCCCCCCAAAAAGGAACCCACCCCCGGCCAGGACCCCCACTTCCGACCTGGTGATGCAGGGGGCCCTGGCTGGGGATTGGGGTGGTGCTTTTGCCGCTCAGGACACAAAAAAAACACCCACCCCCGCCCAGGACCTCCACTCCCGACATGGTGATCCATGGGGTCCTGGCTGGGGATGGGGGTGGAACTTTTGCCCCGAAGAATATGTGTATGTATACATACATGCATAAGAAAAACAATAACAACAAAAATAGCCAGGACCTCCGCACACGACCAGGTGATCCAGGGGGTCCTGGCTGGGGGTGGGGGGGGCTTTGGGGAGCTTTTGGGGTGGAAAAAAGCCACCCCCTCCCCCAGCCAGGCTGGGGGCAGGGGCGGCTTGTTGGAGCTCCTTGGGGAGCAGAAATCCGCCTCCACCCCCACAGGAACCCCCTGTGTCGCCAGGTCGGGGGTTGGGGGTCCTGGATGGGGGTGGGGGGCGGGTTGTGCTGACCCCTGCTGAGAATCTGCGAGCTGTCCGGCGAGAAGCAGCAGGACCACACGGTGCCGTGCCCCGAGTGCGTGTGCCCATCCAGGGCCCGCTCCTGGAGGCCTCCCGAACGGGCTCCGAGCAGCTGGGGTCGGAGGATCGCGCCGCATCGCCAATGCATCGCCACTGCGTCGGCGATGCGTCGGCGACGGGGGCGGTGCATCGGCGACGCCGGCGCGGAGAACATCGGGCTACACGTCGAGCCGCATCGCCGATGCCTCGGCGATGCGGCGCGATCCTCCGACCCCACATGCTCTGACCCCGCCTGGGACGCCTAGAATTAGGTCGGGCGTGTCTTCTTGCAGGCGGATGTTGGACGAAAAATAATCAATGGTTGAAAAATACACCAGAAAGGTCAAAGATAGGTAAAAAAAAAGTCTCCATACGATGTTTTGACTACTTGTGGATATTCTCCCTGTACAGGGACACGCCCGACTTACGCCTAGAGCTCCTGCGTACACTCTGGGAAGCGCCACAGCACGAGCGCGTTGCCCCCGCCGCCGGTCAGCAGCCGGGCTCCGTCGGGGGACACGCAGCAGCTCCAGACGGCGCCCTCGAGGTCCACGGCGCCGCACGGCCGCGACTCCAGGAGGGGTAGCTCTGGCGCCGCGGCCTTGGCGCCCTGAGACTGCACGGCGCCCACGGCTTTGGACGGTGTACGGCTGACCTTGTGTTAGGTCGGGCATGTCCCCTACAGGGGGATTTTGGAGAAACAAATTTAATATGAAACCATCAAAAATATAAAATAGTCAAAAATTATCCTCCCCCCTGCAAAACAAAAACATCGTCCCCAGACTATTTTTTCTTACTAGTTCTGAATGTTTTTCCTGTAGAGGGACAGGCCCGACTTAAACCTTGTGAGCACTGGCGAGGCGATCCCCATCCCCGCTGGCGTGGCCTTGGCCCCGAAGGCCGACCTGCCCACCCAGGTTCAGCAGTGGACAAACCTCCCTTCAGTAAACCTCCCTTTAGTGAAAACGGCCTGGGACCGAAACCGACCGGCCCGGACCCGCAAAAATGACGGCCGCGACGCCCTCTCGCGAACCGAGAACGGCCAATTCGCTAATCGACGTGTCAGGGTAGGAGGTCTATCCACCTCCCAGAGTTCCCTCGGCCTCCGCCCTCCTCGCGGCAGGCACATCCAGGAACTCCGCGCGGAGGGCCACCGCTCATGAGGAGGAATAGGAGGAGGAGGGGGAGGAGGAGGGGGAGGAGGAGGAGGAGGGGGAGGAGGATAAGGGGAGGAGGAGGAGGAGGAGGAGGAGGAGGAGGAGGAGGAGGAGGAGGAGGGGGAGGTAGGGGGAGGAGGAGGAGGAGGAGGAGGAGGAGGAGGAGGAGGAGGAGGAGGAGGAGGAGGAGGAGGAGGAGGAGGAGGAGGAGGAGGAGGAGGAGGAGGAGGAGGGGGAGGAGGAGGAGGAGGGGGAGGTAGGAGGAGGAGGCGGAGGAGGAGGAGGAGGAGGAGGAGGAGAGAGGAGGAGGAGGAGGAGGAGGAGGAGGAGGAGGAGGAGGAGGAGGAGGAGGAGGAGGGAGGAGGAGGAGGAGGAGGAGGAGGAGGAGGAGGAGGAGGAGGAGGAGGAGGGGGAGGTAGGAGGAGGGAAGGAGTGGAGGGTCTGTCAACCTCCGAGACCTGCCCACCCGGGTGGGGCCGCATGCCTGCTCCTCTGGCCTTCCGCGGGGCCTGCACCCACCGAGGGCGTCGGGCTGTGGGGGCCGAGATGCCACGGCCCAGCGTGAGGTCGGACACGTCCTCCCACAGGCGGGTTCTGGACAACAAGACTAAGAAACGGTCAAAACAGATTCACGCATAGCCAAAACAAATCACAGAAAAACCGTCCCCCGATTATGTTTGGACTCCTTTTGGACATGCCTCCTGTAGAGGGACGTGCACGACTCAAGCCCAGCGGGGATGTGGATATGTTAGACGGGGCTGGACTTTGGCCACCATGGGACGCCGCGGCCCCCCGGGGCGACACAGCCGCCTCAGGGGCTCAGCACCGGCGCCTTGGGCGCTTGAGCCGGAGGCTACGGACGCGCTCCGCTGCCAGTCGCCGCGCACAACCCAACGGTCAATAGCAGTGCGGCCAGTCGGGTTCTCGAGTCATGACTGTGGTTCACTACTGGGCGACAGGGAGCTGGAGCTGCCTTCGCCCTGGCGGAGGCTCCTGACGGGATCTGAGTGCTGGCGGAGCGCCCCAATCTTGGCTGCGCGCAGAGAGGGGGCAGGACGAGGGGGGGGGGGGGGCAGCCTTCTGAGCAGGCAAGGGGGAAAGGGCTCGGAGGTTCCGCAGGCGACTTCTTGGAGGCAGGAGGGCGTGCGAGGCGCCCGGCGCCGCCTCGCGGGGCCGCCTCTTCCTCCCACCGCCCCCTGCCGCGCGCCACCGACCGCTGCCCCTGCCCGAGCTGGGGACCCCTGCCAGGCTGCCAGGTGGGGACAGGTCGCTGCCGTCACCCGGGCGTTGGCAGAACTGGGTTTAGCAGGACCTGGTTTGGTGATGTGTAGTGTACTGGGGGACGCCCCCCCGCCCCGTTCCACTAACCGGAGCTGCCGTCACCCGAAAAAGCACCAGCTGCGGCAGACCTGGTTTCGTGACTCTGGCCCATTTGGGGGCTCCAGGGCCCTACCACTAACCAGGTCCCCTCACCTGGGGTCCTGGCTATACCCGAGTTACTCCTCGCCCCGCGGGACATGACGACTCCGGCACGGCGGGCTCGCGAGCGGCGAGCATACCCGCATCCGCGCCCTCGCGGTCTGGACTCTGGGGCGCGGGCCCGCGGCCGCGCGGTCGCGCGGACACGTGAAGCGCCGGGCACCCGCGAAGGCGCGCCCCGTATCCGCGGGGGTGCAGCCCGGGGGCCCTGCCCGCGGGGCCGCGGATACGGACCTGCTTTTCGCCCAGGACGCGTTTCCATGGCGCGCGCCCGTCGTCGTCGCCGATGCCGAAGCTGTCGCCGCCTCGGCGGCGCGCACAAAGGGGTACGTAGGGGGAGGGGGGAAGGCTTCTTAGAAGGAGGCTGCTTCTCAGAAGGCGCCAGCCCTACCTCTACAGACAAGGCCCGCGGCTTCTCAGAGGCCCTCCCCCATCACCCCCTCCCCAGGAAAGGCCTCCCCCCCTCCCCCACCCCCCCCACCCCCCTGCGCGTGGCCGACCGTTGCAAGGGCTGCTGCCCCCGCCGCCGACACCGCCCCCGTCGTCGCTGCCGCCTGGCCTCGAGCGGCACCCAGCCGACCGCGGCCACGACGGGCGGGCCGCACCCCCGCCGACCAGCCACAACTGGGGGAGCTGTGGTCCTTACCCCCCCGGGGGGAACGCACCGCATCGACGATCCCTCGCTCGAGAGGGGTGTCGAGATCGATGGGCCCCCCAGGAGGGTAAGGTTGAAGGGGCCCTGGGACACACACAAAGAAAGACACACAAATAAAAAAGGATTCCCCCATATATGTTCCTATAGTTTCTGGGTTGTTGTCTTCCCTCCCACTTCGCATGTTTTCCTATATTTTCTGGGGAATCGCGCTGGGCCTCTGGCGTGGCGCGGCCGCCCCAGAGGCCCAGCGCCGGGCGGGGGCCGCGGGCGCCGCGGAGGGCCGCTTCCCGGGCCCGAGCCTCCCTGTCACGATAGCGACGAGCGCGCGTCGGGGCCCTCGGGGCCCTCGGGATCCGCGGAGCGTCCGAGGCGCGGCCCCACGGGGTGCCCGCGGCTCCACTTGCCCTCGCTCGGACGTCCATCTCCCGCGCATTTGTTGGTTTCGTGCGTGTGTCTTT